AAACAAAACAATTTAGTTTATCTAATACCCTGTCTGCGTTGATTGTCATGTCAAATACATAGGGCAAACTAGTAGAACAGGGGCAGTCAGACTAGCTGAGCATAAAAACTTCGCAACATCTAGATTTTTACGAATTGATCACGGATTGATATCAGTTAGAGAACCATTGAAAATCAGGGAGTACTGGACAGCTGCTATTTCATCCTAGTTTGGAAACCATCGGCAGTACGCACCCACTGGGATTCGAACCCAGGACCTTCCGGTTGCAAGTCAAGCTGGCTCGTATACCATTCAGCCACTGGGACCCGATTCAATGGCCAGCCCATGAATTCTAACTTCTACCAATTCGTGATTTAGCGCGACCCCAACCATTGTCGTTGGTGGGACATCCATCCACACACGTGACATCTAATTGGACCTCACTGGTCATGACTTCTCACTAGAACTCCAGGAAACTCCATCCTGTAGCAAGTCACTAGCGAGCATCAGATTAATTTTCTATAGTTTGGTTTGTAAGGGATAAGAAATCTAGAGAATAGTTCAGCTATAGCACTCACTACATGCAACTACACACAACCGTGAAATAGGATGGGATAAGATGACAGTTTTAAAATCTAATGTAACAGCTGAGTGGAGGGAGAGATTGACAACAGAAGCTTTGTTTATCGAATCAACTGCAAATACATGTAATAGGAATGATTCATCACCTGTCCCGATATCTGGAAAATTCTACTACCCCAACGACGACAAATAGGAGAAAACAAAGAAAACTATAAAACTCAAGTTTCAAAGTCGTGTGATTACAATTGATATGATTATGAACAATAATAAATTTTGTTCGAAACCTCGTCATCCAGTAAATAATACTGTCTTACTGTGTGACATATCTAATAAACAAACTAATATGGAATTACTTACTACCACAGTGCCCAAGTTTTACACATATGTTAATATGATTAAGTGCACCACTGAACCAAAATATTCTGTTGGAATATTTCAGTGAACTTAAGAGTAATGGATTTTGCATAAATCTATAAATTGATAAGATAAATGATCGGTTGTGAGTCATTCAGTGCACAAATTTTTTAAGCTGAAGTTTGATAGATTAAAAGTGGAACTAACATTGGCCTATGTACTCATATAATTAATACAAGTGAATGAGGGAGATTTGAAAATCCGACTACCATCTCAACGAGGAGTAGTAACTGCATCACCACTATTGGCACTAGAGTTATTGGAGTGGAGTTTTAGGTAAAGAAAGAAAGCTAGTCAGAGAAGCTGGCATACTTAGTCGATTGAGATGGCTAGGACACGTGTCGCCGATGATATATGTCTGATTTCCCACAAACTGGAAGATATGCAAGCGAAAAACAACAAGTTGGCAGAAGAAGCATCCAGAGAAGATAGGACTTCAGGTGAACGTAGAGAAAACAGAGGTGATGAAGATTCATGGGCAACACCAACAACAGACAACAATCAGCATAAATGGAAGGAACCTGAAAGAAACAACCTCCTTCACTTACATACCTGGGAAGCATCGTTTCAATTGCAGGCGGCGGAACTGACGAGGAAATCAAAACAAGGGTCGGGAAAGCAAGACAAGCTTTCACTACTCTCAAGTCTGTGTGGAGGTCAACAGCACTCACCATCAAAAATAAGATCCGGATTTTCAACTCCAATGTGAAGTCAGTCAGTGCTACTATACGGATCAGAGACTTGGCCAGCGCGTCATAAAGAGCATCTCAAACAAACTACAGACCTTCATCAACAGCCAGTTGTCTTCGCTCAATACTCAAGATCAGATGGCCAACCAGAAAAGATCAGCAACAGAGATCTCTGGGAGCGAACCAACCCAACAGGCTCCGATTGTGAAACAAATACGCAGGAAGAAATGGAGATGGATTGGCTGGCCATACTCTGAGGAAACCATCAAGTGACATCACTAGACAAGCCATTGCTCGAGTGGAACCCGAAAGGGAAGCGGTGAGTTGGTCATCAGTGCAAGAGTGACTTGGAGGAGGTCATGTGAAGAGGAGATGAAAACGTGTGGGCAGACATGGAGCCAGGTGAAGACTCAAGCAGAGAACCGAACTCAATGGAGACGCACGGCTGAAGCTCTATGTTCCTCTAGGAATTAAAGGATATAATAATAATAATCACTGACTTTCTTAACAAGTGATGCTGGCTCAGATAAGATTGGTTTCAAGAAAAGTTTGAGGTGATCGAATAAAAGAATAAGACATATAAGCAAAAAATATTGTTTTCAATTAGATCTTCTTCAGGGTTTACTGCAATTTACATAGATTTATATATGAAAAGTTTAACCAATGACGGTGAGTTTGTGGACCAAATAATAATAGTAATAATGTAGTAAATGTTTTGAATGTCATTAATAACGATGATTATAATGATAAAAGTAATGATAATAATAAGTTTTAGGCTGGTGGCGATAAGAATAACAAAGGTAGTAATATGTTTATATGTGTACAATTCAATAAATAAATTAGTCCAAGACTTAAAAGCTGCGTAATACTAAATTTGAAGTGGACAGATAATCAGAGTCTAAATAAATATCATTAAAACACAAAGGAAGTGGAAAATAGGAAAGGGTAGGAGGGTTTTAATTAAACTTTACTAAGTCAAGGGAGAGACAAAGCTTGAACAAACTTCTTCCGTACGCAAAGACTAGGACTGTTCTTTCGAACTGATTCCCATAGCTTCGGCTATGTGTAGAAGGCGGGTTCGAATTCCGTTCTAAAGGTTCGATGTGATGCGACAGATAACTTTGAAGGCACTATTTCTGTCAGCTTGGTGACCACTATCAATTAAATGAGCCAAAATAGAACTTCATATAAATTCTGTTTGGCCTTTTCCGAACCATGAATAAAGATATATATATCCAAACCAAGTTCACTTTTAACAGTTTGAAAAAAATTAGGCATTAGGTATATGATATTCATTATAATAAAGGTTTTTTGTATTTTACAATACCGTTTTGTTTTTCACTCATTAGAAAATACAAAAAATCATGAAGGAAGATGCTCATTAATGCGTTTGTTAAGCTGTCTAGTTGTTTGACCTACATAGCTCTCTCCACTGGGGCAACTACATTTGTAGATACATATAGAAGTGGCACAGCTAGGTAGCTTGTCTTTTGCTTGCGCAGTCATAATTGGTCTGCTGAAAAATGACAAACAAAGTAAGGCGGAAGTATAAATCCGTTTTATTGCTCTCGATAATCTCACATGTAAGACTTCACTAGCTACTTCCCCATTAAATTGCAATTTCATGAACACTTGTTTCTTTTTGACTGTTGTCAGTTTCTCTTTATTGTATTTGGTGTTCATGTGTCTCCTTAAAAGTCTACTAGGATAACCCATTTGGACCAGCGTATTTTGAATGTATCCTAACTCATTTTGTAGGGAGTCTACTGTACAGATCCGTCTTGCTCTATTCGTGAGGTATCTGACCAAAATGATTTTGTATCGGATTGGTACAAAACTGAGGAAATGTGTATATTATCCTACAGATGTAGGTTTTATATAGACATCCCTCTTGAGTGAACCATCCTCTCTTCTGCTCAATTAGACGTCAAGGAAGCGTAGTCTACCATCATGTTCTTCTTCACAAGTGAAGATGAGCGGTGGATGTGCATCATTAAATTTTACTAACATTTCATTCTTGTCAGCTTTCACATCAAGAATAATAAGCGTATCATCAGCATAACGAAAATAAGAATCCGTTTTATCTATTACTTGTTTCAATGGACCATTTTCAAGCTTAGCAAGAAAGAAATCAGCCGAAATTGCACCCATGGCAATGCCGTCGATTTGTCTGTAATAAAGGTTGTTGAATGTGAAGTGTACATTCATAGTACATCTTAAAAGCAACTCTTTCAGACTAATAACTGAAATTCCAACGTCGAACTGTTTTTCTAGTATCTGTTGGCATATGAATTCCACAGTCTCCATAGGTGGTACATTGGTGAACAGTGTGATGCGACGTCTAAGGATAGCATTTGCTTCCCATTTACATTAATATTATGTATGTCTTTAACACTATGATTTACCATCTTCTTGTGTAACTGTTGGAGGATTTCACCTAGCCACTTTGCTACTCCATGGTAGGAGAAATTACACATGTCTAGGAGTGAGGGAAGAGGAAGTCCTGGTTTACGTACTTTGGGCAGACCGTACAATCGTGAATTATAACTTCCAGTAGGTTTAAAACGGTTTTAGGCTACCTCTGACAGAATAAAACAAGACATCAATCCGCAAATTCTCTAATAGTTGATTTTAGCCAGTCCCGCAGGGAGCTGTAAGCTTCCTGGTTGGATTCCTTGGGATGCTAAGAACCGATAGTTGAAGACGATTGGAGATATGGCTCGAAATTGTTTTCAATGGCTCAGTCGCATCCACTCTTTGTGATCTTCCTTATCTGTTTGACCCTTGTGCTTTTCCTTGTAACTATTATTCCTCCTGCATATTTGTGCTCATTGTAATTCTTTCCTGTTTTTTGGTCCTTTCTTTTTCCTTTGCCTTTGTGTGCTATATGGAGTGTGGTAACTTGAAACTGGGCAGTTTTGGGGTTGAAAATTGCATGCTTCTATGCTGCTATACATGACTAGATATGATTTGCAATTTTAAAGAAATCCACTTTCTATTTTTTACAGGTATAAATTCATGCTAATTCATTGCTGTGAACATTGATTGTACTAGTAAATAATCTAAGGTTGTGATTCAAATTACGTTCTACTCTGATTTCCTACTGTCACTAACATCAATTCTGTTCAGCGGTGAAAATTTGGTTAAAGCAGCATTTGGGCACAGCAAAAAAGATCGATTTAACAGTATTTTCTTATTTAAAAAGCCTTCGTTAACTGCATGAAAGGATGGAGTATAAAATTCACTGTAATTTCATTATGCTTACATTATTACTGTAAAACTTAATTGAAACAATTACAATTATGATGTTTTTACTTTGTTCCCTTTTTTTTAAAGATACTACAACCTTATGGAATATGCTATGCACCATGGACTCGATCATTTCTGATCGCAGATCACGTAAACCATCGAATACAAGCATGCCAGTTAAGGCTTATCATGAATAATGAAAATGATAACGACTGGACAAATGATCTAGTTAAGCCTGTAAAACCATCTGGAGGTTGGAATGAAACACTGGTCAGTGGTACTTCGAAAAACGCATCGACTAGTTTATCTCCATTGAGACCGATCGCTGAAAAAGGATCACATTCAATATGGCATCCAATGGCTATGGCAACAGATGTACAACGAAAACGTATAATTTTAACTGAGGCATTAGGAAGTGTGAAAGTAATCAAATCAGTGGAAATAAATCAATAGTGGCAGTGCTGTTTTTATTACTGCCTTCGTATCTGCATATGGAATATGACTTTTTATATTCCGCTTGTGATCCGGTACTTTGTATTCTTTTCCAACTTGTGAAGAAAAGAATGACGTCTTTGTATGCATAAAATCGATAGACAGCTTGTTATGAATGTTTTATTCATGCTTGAATACACATTTGTCTACATACTGCTGTCAGATTCTTTTTGGTATGTTGATATTGTATGAATCGATTTTATTTAATATTGATTTATATTTTAGTGGAATAATGTCTAGCATGTATGATAAGCTTGTGAATCGATTAAATATAGGAAAGAAATTGATCATTTCCACCTATTTTAAATCTAAAAAAAGATATAACGACTATATAGTCGAACATTAGATTTTATAAGCTCTACTCGTGTAAAGATAGTGTAAGCAGAAATTAATTATAAGAACGTAAAGTTCTAGTCTCCGATGAAAGCCGGAGGCGATTAAAAGTTTAAAAAACATAAGGTTTGGTGGTCCATAAACAACAGTAGACTGATAATACAAATAAAAAGTTCATGAATTCACCATGAAATCAAAATGATGATAAAACACGCTTGACTGTTTACGTTGAATGATCCTAAACGTCAAACTGTAAGCTGATCTATACTATTTTGGGAAATAAAACTTCCAAGTATAAAAAAAGTGACAAAAAGCGATTCAGTCCCGGTGGCTGGATCGTCAACGAGCACTTCTCGTGGTATGAAAGTCGTAGGTACGATTCCTGGCTGGGTCATAGGTGAGTACTGCCGAAGAGTTTCAAAGAAGAAAGGATGAAACAGCTGTCCAGTACTCCCCGGTTTTCAAAAGTCCTCTCACTGATATCAGTCTGTGATCTTGAAACAAATCAAACAAGAAACTCGAAGCTGGTCCCTTGAAGTGAGAAAATAAATATTATGGTGGGGAATTTGCTAGTAAGTTAATTATTTTAATTAAGGCTGTGATAAGAAGAAAACCTCAAAGCCTGAAATAATATCATCATATTATAGTTAGTATGAATTCTGTTTTTCCAATGTACACCTTCAGTTTAAAGTTCCAGATATTTGAACTGATTCTCATAGTTTTACGTTTCTCAGATAAATAAAATCACTAAAATGAATGGTAAACTTGTCCTATTACTTATAAATTGAATAGTTCGTATTTATACTACTGCACTGTTCAAAGATGACTTCAGGAGAATGAGTGGTTTAAAGCTATGCGGTTTCCTGCAATAGTGTAATCCACTATACTATGGTGTTTTCGTGTCAGAAATAACATTCTGTTATCCTATCTGGACATTTACTTAAAAAAAAGCAAATGAGTATTTCCCTAACTGCTCAACCAATCAATGCAAATATCAACATTTTTTCTCTAATTCAAAGAAAATCCCGAAATTTCAGTCAGTTTATAATATGCTGGTTTTCCTAAGTTAGCTTACTGAACGAACACCCTCTAGCTTTTAGCTGATTTTACTTGTTGATAAAGTTGAGCTAATTTTGTCTGCAACAAGTTGGCAGAAGAAGCATCAAAGATAGGACTTCCTTCAGCTGAACATAGAGAAAACATAAATGATGAAGATTTCTGGCCAACAACAATCAGCATAAACGGGAGAAATCTGAAAGAAGCAACCTCCTTTACCTACCGACCTGGGAAGCATCGTTTCAACTACAGCCACATGGAACTGATGAGGATATCAAGCGAAGATCGGGAAAGCAAGGCAAGATTTCATTTCTCTCAAGTCTGTGTGGAGGTCAACAGCACACTCAGTACGAAAAATAAGATTCGGATTTTCAACTCCAATGTGAAGTCAGTGCTACTCATTATACGGATCAGAGACTTGTTGTCACGCCACGTCACGAAGGCCACTTCGAACAAGCTACACATCTTCGTCAACAGCTGCCTTCGCTCACTACTTCCCTCAAGATAAGATGGCTAGCCAGAAAAGATCAACAACAGGGAGGGATCTCTGGGAGCGAACAAACCAGGTACCGATTGTGTAACAAGTATGCAGGAAGAAATCGAGGTGGATTGGCCATACTCTGAGGAAACAAACCATCAAGTGACATCACACGGCAGGCTCTCTCTCGAGTGGAACCCGAATGGGAAGCGGCAAGTTGGTCGTCAGTGAGAAGGTGACGTGGAGGAGGAGGTGATTTGAAGAGGAGATGAAAGCATGTGGGTAGACGCGTAGCCAGGTGAAAATGTTGGCAGAGAACCGTACGCAATGGAGACGTGCGAGAGAATCTCTATGTTCCTCTTGGGATTAAAGTAAATAATAATGATAATAATTTTGTCTGCAGTAATAGACGAAGGCTCTGCGTTTTTACCTGCAAGAAAGACAAAGTTAGCAGCCTCAGCTAACCTTCCTTTACTGTAGAATGTAAATATGAAAGTAGAAGACAATTAAAATCCTTGAAACCACTAAATTTTGTTTGAAACAACTACTACTTCGATGTGAATCAAAAGGTTTTGTACTTTTGCAGTGTGTTGCTTTTATGTACATTAATAAGATACGAATAACAGTTGCATCATGTTAAGTTGAATGCATCTAATATTGAGACTATACACCAGCTGCTTAAAATACAGTAAATAACTTGAACTGAAACACAAGAAATATTTATGTACAGTTCTCGCTAGGCCCTCAGGTGAGACCCGAATGGGAAATGACGAGTGGGATATCTGACGGTAACATGGATGAGATCGTATGAGAGAAGGACACGAGAGACTATGAGCAGTCGTGTGGCTAGATAAATAGGACTTCAGAGGACAGGACAAAAGGGATATGTGCTGTTGAAGCCCCTTGTTACACTCAGAATTCAGGGGAATAATAACAGTAAATTTAAGTCCGAGTGATTATATAAGTTATAACAAAATAAACTTGCTGCTCATTTGCCTCAATTAACTAGAATAGAGGGAATGAAGGCAACCAATTGCGATCTAAATTTCCTCAGATAGTTGGTCTTACATGACTTTGTATTACGTGCTTAGAGGAATGTTGTAATCATATTAGATGTTATCTTTGACTGTTTCAAAAGTGTTTTATCAACTTTTCTGATATCGAAAACATCCCGCAATTACCTTTATTTTCACCCATTAGGTTCACATAAACATTTGACCAAACAAAAATATGATGAGATGCTATGGCATTACCATATCTAGAGAAATTCAGTAAACAGTTAGAAGAATCACTAAATTCCTTATTGATATGAAAAAAGTAGGTGAATGCTGCAGTAAACGTAGACATAGAAAGGTAGTGGTGATAAAATAACTGAGTATCACGGAATGGATTTATGCAAAGTTGGATGACAAAATAAGTAGAGAACAGACAACTAGAGTCAAATTACAAAGGGACTTCAGAAATGGAAAAGTTAATGATATTATTTAGTCGAAAAAGCTTATCACGCTAGTGGAAAACAGTTGTTTATATTCTTCGAAGTACACATGTCAATGTTTTTGGAAAACCGCACCATTTAGATGGAAGAAGTTGAAAGCTGTCTCAAGGACATATAGTATATTCCTTATCTCACAGCTAACAGTGTGTTGAAGTGTGAAAGGCATATAAACATAAAGCTTGAGAATTCTCTTGAACACAATAAGAAGACGTGGTTTATCTGAAAAATGTACTGTATTTGAGCAACACATTTCGAACATTCTGATCACACATGTACTTGTCATACAGTTTTTATAGAAGGCAAGAAGGTCTCTACAGGTTAGGGTTACAGAATACGTTCCATAGTGGCTGCAACAACAAATAAAATCGCCAGACACAATTGACTCCGGAAATAGATGTCCAACATCATCTACAGCGAAGCACATTATAGAAACGTATCATAAGGTTGATTCCAATAATACCTTTAAACCCATGTATAAAACAAGGTTAGGTCACATACTTAAATTCGTTGAAGCATTGGCCATAAAAAGTGTCCAAAAGTTATTTGTTATTACTTTAAACCTGCCTTGGTAATCCAATTTAGAATCAATGTTCAATTTACTTCATAATATTTTGAACTCCTTCTTTGCTTTGTTTTTTCTCTTTTTCTCTTTCTTACCCACACCTTTTATGACCTGTACACAATCTGACCTGTATTGTACTAATTGGTGCCTTCTTGCCATCTATAAAAACTGTGTATGACAAGTACGTGTGTGATCAGAATGTTCGAAATGTGTTGCGCAAATACATTACACATTTCAGAAAAACTACGTCTTCTTATTGTGTTGTCGAAATCTCTTGAACTAGCTTCGAAATAGGATTAAAAAGACCTTCACCTGTTTTTCAGTGTATACTCTCTATTCCCGGTATAAGGTGGCTAGGTAATTCCTCTTCTCAACCTGGTTTGTCTGGACCCTTCGTCACATTTGCAGAAGACTGATTTCTTCTTCATTTCGCCTAATTCTGTCTTAATACTCAGTCTGCTTTTGTGTTTATCAATAAACTTTTAGGGATATCCATTGTCTTGTATGAACTTTTCAACATTGTGGAACTCCTCATCAAGTCCTTTTGGAACAAGGTTTTTTAATGAGGTTAAACAATGTGAATAAAGCAAGAACGAAAGTGGTTTGTGCAGAATAATATGGTACCATCATTTATTTCGTAGGCTTCTCATCAGCTGCTTACAGCCTAAATACATAATGAGGTTTGCGTACAGAAAAGTTTTAACATACTTGCAAATTTTTACATGTTGCCAGTTGACAAATTCCTCTCTGAAGAACATCGTAAGGCATTGAAATCTCTCAGAAATAATGTCAAAATCGTCATACTGCGACCTGACAAAGGCTCAGGAGTGGTACTGATGGATAAAGATGACTACATCGCAAGAATGAAAACTCTGCTGAATGACCCATTGAGGTTTAAAGTCGACGACTGCCAGAAAGACAAGACAGATGCAACTGAAAAACACATCACCACTGTACTGAGAGATCTTCTAAAAAAGAATTTGATTGACAACAACACGTACAATGAATTAAAGCCCAGAGGGTCCCGCTTGCCATAT